AATAACAACAGTTAACGATTTTGCCTTGGGTTATCACATTCAACTGATTTCTAAGTCGCTCTATATAGAAATCAGTAGAATGTGGCATATTATTATTGTTTCGTTAAGTTTTGCTTTCTTATTACTCCCCAAATCTCTTCAGTATATATATATATATATATATATATATATATATATATATATATATATATATACATGAAGAAATATATTCTTAAGATGTGCTATATTTATGCGATAAAGTGCTCAATATCAGAGATAGCGCGTGCGTAAATATAAGTGTACATAGAAGAGAGTCTATTTCATGCTAGATGCAATCGTCAGGCCTGACGATTGTGTCTAGCATGAAACAGCCTGTCGCCTCTAACTGTTGACTTCTATGATCACTTTATATATATATATATATATATATATATATATATATATATATATATATATAAATTACAGTAAGATATATAATCCGGTGTTCTTATAGATATTTTTATTTTTACAAAATAGTGCTCAATGTAAATCTACAGAGCATTAATATTATAAATTAACTGATTTAAAATATGTTTTTTTTCGCTACACAGTTCTAACCATGTTTCAAAAATGGAAGCTAAAAGCTTCGAATTTAATTTTGTAATTAAATTGAAGACATTAGTTCCGTTTCATCCTTAAGCGAATTTTGGAGTAACTTATTTTTAAAATTACTGGGGTTTAAAGGCACTACAAAAATTCATAATTTATAATTTCTTAATTATGAATTATGATGTTGTTGTGTTCCTTTTTTTATCATTCCAAGCGCACCCACTATGAATGCTTCTATTCTAGTTTTTAATTTCCGCATTTTTTCTATTTCGATTTCCAGGTCTTTATATTTCCATTAGTTTTTCAAATACCTTGTTTGCTATGTTACAATCTGCTGGGCAATTAGTAGGCAATTTTTTCTTTTTTGTTTTTGAAAATTATGTCCGGCATTTTTGCTTCAATCTTCCTGTCTGTAAAAATGGCGTAATTCCATAGAATTGCGATGTCTTCTAATTCTGTAACCGGTGCTGGGTGACGTCCATACCAGTGTTTATTAACATCTTTTCAAATGTGTTTGTACATTGTCCAGTGTAAGTATTGACCAACTCTATCATGGCGATTTTTATATTCATTTGGCGGAAGTACAGAACGTCCTGTGATTAGATGGTCTATGGTTTCCTGATATTTAGATCCACTCTATAATGTGTGATATTTGCTCGAAAATCTCTAGTGAAAAGACCCTCGTCTTACTCTGTAAGAATAAAGTCTCCCGTTTCAGCCTTTAATCCAGTTGCTCGTAACCATTGATGAGTGGTAACTTTATCAACAAGGGTTTTATTAGCCTCGTTCTGGATATTGACCATGGAGAGATTTGTCTTGTCTGCGTTGGTTCATCTCTTCAAGAACTTTATTCTTGGCTTTCTTTTCCATAATTTTTTCTGCAACAGTAAGTTCTTGGGTTCTGTTTTGGTTTTCTACGGAATCTACTACATGTAAATTTCGTTTGTATTTACAACCATCTTTCTGTTACTATTATTATTATTTTTATTTTCTTTGATTTCTTTACACATTTCTTTCCGGGTCCCGCCCAGGAACCTAAGGTTAGAAATGGCATCATGACACTTTCCACTGACAAAAAAAAAATTACATAGATAAATCCCTTCGTAAAGTGTGGGCTGTACTTGTCAGAACAATTTTTTGTATCTCCTTGAGGCATGGATTTCCAGGAATCCCTTCAATTAGTCTACTGCAATCTTTTCCAACTAGTCCTAGGGCTCCAACTACAACAGGGATTGTTGATGTTCCCATATGCCACATTTTCGAGATTTCTATTTCATTTATTATTATTATTATTATTATTATTATTATTATTATTATTATTTCCTTTGATTTTTGTTGTATACACATTTCCTTCCGGGTCCTAAACAGAGACATGTCAGAAAAACTTCGTGATATTTTTTACTGATCATTTGATAAGATCACATATAAAACTCTTCGTTACGTGTGAACTGTACTTGAGAATACAATGCATTTTATTAAGTCATTGGCTACCAGGAATCCCTTCAATGAGCCTATTGGACCTTTTTTCCAATCAGTCCGAGGGCTCCAACTACAATTGGAATTATTGATGTCCTTATGAGCCACATTTTTTAGATTACCACTTCAAGATACTTGTATTTTAATAGTTTTTTTTGTTTTTTTGTTTTTTTACATCTTTAAAAATACATTATAATCTTCAGAGTCAGCCATGTCAATAAGAAAGCAGATTTTGTTCTTGTGATCTTTGATCACGATGTCTTGGTGATTAGCTGGGATTGATATCCCTGTGTGTATTATTAAGTCCCATAAGATTATCTGGTTGATGTTCATACCAATTTCTTTTAGTTTCCTTCCGTAAAAGTGGCATTCAGTGAAGATATTGGCGCACGCTATCATGCCGAGTTTTATACTCAGTGGGTGCTAACACTGTACAACCTGATACAAGATGGTCAATTGTTTCTAGATATTTATCACAGAATCTGCATTTCGTGTTAACAAAATTTCAAGTTAGCAAGCATTGGTCCTGTATAGCAAGAATAAAACTTTCAGTTTCAGCTTTTAATCCTGTACTACATAACCACTCAAGGGCAGTGGGTTTGTCTACATCAGTTTGTTTGGCACGGACAGAGTATGGACCATGAAGAGTCTTGTCTTGCTATAGTTTTTGCATTTGTCTTGTTTTTGCTTTCGTTTTAGGATCTTTGTTGCTGCAGTGGGTGTATTATCATTTATTTGCATTTCTTCACCCGCTTAAAATTCCCTTTTGAAATTCTTGGCTTTCTTTATTACTGAATAAAGTTTCTTATTTCTTTCATGTTCTTTGACACAAATCATCATCCAGTCTTCTGTAGTTTCCAGGTATCTTTGAAAACCAATTGTTGTAGTTTTGTAAGACATTTCTAGTTGAACTAATCCTCTCCCTCCTTCGGAAATAGATACATACAGACGATCAACACCAGCATTATTATTATTATTATTATTATTATTATTATTCCTACATTTGCTTGTTTAGACCAAATCCTGGTGGTTATCATTGAAGATTGAGCTGCAAGAAATTTTCTCAAATCTTGATCACCGCACCCAATATCCTGACTCACCACAGCAATGTCGCGGTTAAATATTCGTGGATTATGTTCATTTTAGAGTTCCTATTTTAATTAGAAACATAATCTTAATTTTACAATTACATAGGCATTTAAACATTTTACTTCTAAAATCATCGATATTCTCATGATGATAAATGTCGTGCTATAAAGGCGTTGAGACCAAGAGAGAGACACCTTGTCCCTCCGGCGATCACAGCCTTGACAGAGTTCCGGAACATCCTCCAGTTCCAGATTAATCTGCTGGAGTTCCTCGTAGACGACGTCCGTCCAGCGGCTGCGTGGCATGTTGCGGGGTCGTCGCCAATTAGCGGCCGGTCGAAATGGTAGCTGACTCGATATCCAACTCTTATGAACGGTAGATCGGCTTTTAACGCGATATTCGGCTCTTATAAACGGTAGAATGACTCTATTCAATACCACATTGAACTTTTCTCATATACAGTACAACGTCTATTCAACGCCATATTCAACTCTTCTTATTAGATATAGAACGGCTCTATTCAGCGCCATATTCAACTGTTATAAACGATAGAATGTCTCTATTCAACGCCATAGTCAACTGTTATAAACGATAGAATGTCTCTATTCAATGCCATATTCAACTCTTCTTATTAACTATAGAACGGCTCTATTCAGCTCCATATTCAACCATCTTATAAACGGTAGAACGTCTATTCAACGCCATATTCAACTCTTCTAAATTAACCTTGTATCAAAATCGCGAAGAAAGCTTCCCAAATTTACATTCTTTGAAAAGTAAACCTGACAAGTATCATTTTTTGGTATAGCTGAGGAAATATCTAGCAAATTACTTCATGTAATGTCTGGCAGCTTTGCAACGCTAAGCAAATTTCTTCCTTTTTTTTTAAAAAAAATAAAGATTGAAGTTCCTCCTGCTTGTACTTATTCACCAACAGCAACCCCGACTTGAATTAAGTGCATTCAATTGGCGTAATTTGTATCAATGCGTGATAGACCAGCCAGTACCGAATTAGTGAATACTGACCTGGGAAGAGATCAATCTGACTGACGCCTAATATGCCGTTATTTTGGAATTGTTAATGAATGTCTTCCCATATTCTTTAATTTAGAGTTCTGTCCATAGTTCCGGTAAATATTATGAGCTCATTTTCCAGTGATATAATCAATACGGGTCTTCTTTTATTTGCGTTGTCTCTTGACGATCGTGGCTCTCCACAAATCTCTTTAGATATACTTTTTATAATACTGTTCATTCAATACAAGGCCCAAGAGCTACTCAAGTTAGAGATTTATTAAATGAGTTTTTTGTAAAGGCGTAAAAGAGAACGACGCCTGTTCCAAAGGGTGAGAGATCTGTCGAAGGATCTGTCTGAGTGAAACTTGATTCCCAAGAAATTTTCGAAGTATAAAGCCTCATTCAGAGTAAAATCGCTCGTCAAGACTAAGTTATGATTGTTCCCTTGCTATCTTTTACAGTCCACGTTCTATCCTCCATTTATACGAGTACGTTACCCTCTGTTTCCCCCCTCTTCAATATGTTTTGCGAGTGTCCAATTCTCAAAGCCCTCTTTCCTCATTTTGTCCCAGAAATTTCAACTATCTCTTTCTGACTGTAAATAAAAGTTTCTATTTTATTTAAAACTTCCTCGTTGCTGACATGTTCCGTCTATGTTATTCTCAGCAAGCTTCTGTAGAACCGCATCACCGTTGCCTCAAGTCTTATTTTCCTCTGCGAGGAAATTGCCCAGGATTCACAGCCATTTAGGAGGATTGGCAGTGCATGGCAATTCAGCATTTTTATCGTGGTGGTATCTCCCGAATAAACCGTGGAAATTAAAAGGCAATAACAATAACAGAAATATTAAATTATATATAAATGAACGTTAAAATGTACAGATTATTATATGTGTGTGCGTGCGCGCGCTGGGGGGAGGCTCGCGCGTGTTTGTGTGTGTGTATGTTTCTGTGATAGATAGATAGATAGATAGATAGATAGATAGATAGATAGATAGATAGATAGATAGATAGATACATGAACAGAGATAGATAGAGATAGATAGATAGATAGATAGATAGATAGATAGATAGATAGATAATGAACAGAGATAGATAGATAGATAGATAGATAATGAACAGACATAGATAGATAGATAGATAGATAGATAGATAGATAGATAGAACAGAGATAGAGATAGATAGATAGATGAAGATAGATAATGAACAGAGATAGATAGATAGATAGATAGATAGATAGATAGATAGATAGATAGATAGATAGATAGATAGATAGATAGATAGATAGATAGATAGATAGATATGAATAGATTTAGATAGATAGATAGATAGATAGATAGATAGATAGATAGATAGATAGATAGATATGAACAGATTTAGATAGATAGATATGAACAGATTTATATAGATAGATAGATAGATAGATAGATAGATAGATAGATAGATAATGAACAGATATAGATAGATTGATTGATGGATTGATTTCTAATTTCTAAGTGGATTGTCAAATGTGACCCTTCAGCTGTGCCTTACTTTTTTCACAGTAGGTTAAAACATCAACGCGCCATCGCCATTGGCCTCAGATATCAAAAGGCAAAATTTGTTTTTACCAACGCGTTTCGTTCTCTGAGGGCCTTTATCAAGGTTAATATGGAGATTTTACTTCATAACTTGTATTTATACATAGCAGTAACGAGGAGGAAAAAATATATCGATAGGTTTTCACATTTTGAATTTGAGAACGCTCTACAATTTTCATTCTTGGTTTTATATTTTCCATTTTTAAAAATTTAAAAAGCAACATTCCCACTCTTTGCAAATGCACCGAAAATATTCTTAGTCAGTTTCCATCAACTGCCATTAAATGCAGCGAGTCCACGAATTAATCTTAAATTAATAAGCATATAATCCGTGCTGACATTTATGGGAGGTAATCTCGTAGATATAAATGTACTCTGGGAAAAAAATGTTATCAACTTAAATATTGTATTTTAAGGTTAAGACCTCCTTTTTTGAAAATTGAAAAGTCCTCATGAACTGAACACATTATTCCGCTCACTGGTTAATTTCCCTCTGAAAATTCTCCGCTGCTTTAACCGGGTATTGAACTCTGATTCTTTGGGTCCTGTCACTGGATCTAACCAACGCCTTTATCCACTGTGCCATATGTCCTTGATTAAGGGAAATAAAGGGTTCAGTTCGACATTCCAACCCCTTGAAGAAGGCCGGAGCGTACAACGGACGAAACGTTGTAATAAATATGGCGACAAAGATGAGGACAATAGTCCGAATAATGTAAATAATGGTCTATGTGAATTTGACAAATAAAACAGTCGGCAAGGAAAGATAGAAAGAGAGAGGTGACAGTCAGACAAATAAAATACTTGTTTGCTCCCAGACCTTGCTCCCACTGTGTGGAGCTTTCAAGATGGTCACGTGTGGATCTTTCGAGATGGTCACGTGATATATGTATATTTTGCAGACCAGACAACAAAGTAAGGAAGTTTTATATCTCAGGAGCCACTGATGCTGAGAACATGAAATTGTCCACTGGTCATAAATGTCGCTAATTGAAACAAATTGTCATCATAATTTTATCTTCACTTTGACCTCTTCCTTATTTGGCAGTCTGCTCAGTAACATATAGGGTCCATTCGAAGAAATCCTGACGGTCTTGTGTTCTACAAGCAAGGAATGACTAGAGAACGAAGACAAATACATAGAAATAAGTCATTAACTCGAGCAACCTACTAAATTTGCGGCCTGAAAGTCCTGTTTTGCTAAGTAAACTGATGGCTCACACTGACAATAGAGGTGCTTATTAAAAAAAAAAAGTCTATATTTTAACATCTTTTTGATGTCTGTCAAAAATGTGATCCTTGGTACAAAGAAAGAAAATTATGGAATTTTAAATCTTTAAGTTCAAACACTATCATAAATATACTAGGCCCAGAAAATAGCAATCCATCAAAAACGTTATAAGATACCACAAATGAATACTGAAACGTACCCAACCCCACCACCAAAATTAGCAAACCGACCAATGACCTGATATAACTCAAACGTTCAAATAAATTAACATCGTCTTCCTATTCGTCCCTTATTGTATAGCCAGACTAATGTTGTTGCAACGGTTGCGACTAGAATCACTGCATGCTGTTATTAGGTTGGTGCAAAAATAATGACGTAATAATGTCGTTTTTTGACGTATTTTTTAACATCAAAAACGACATTATTACGTCATTATTTTTGCACCAACCTAATACGTGGAACCACGTTTCTAACAAGAGCAAGGACTCTTGGGCGAAATCTTGCACGTACAACGCACAAAATTCAGTAGTTCCTCAGCAGCAGGATCTAGATCTCTTGGGCGAAACCTTGCACTTACAACGAACAAAATTCAGTAGTTCCTCAGGAGCAGGATCTAGATCGGTAAGAACTGGGGGCTAAAGTACCGTTTCTCTTTTCACAACCTCAGCTGCAATGATCCAGTCGGCAATGATCTAAACTCTTCCAAATCATAGCCTGAAGATAGATACCGGGGGATTATAGAACAAAGCTGACCGTTCAGTTGAAGGCAATCTTTCAGGCTGTACCTTCTTCGGCGATGTTGCGGCCTACTTCCATATATTTGATGTACCCGAAGGAGTCCAGTGTATCGCCTGGTTTTCTTCTCTAGAACTTGACAAAAATCTGCGATCCCATAGATGCAACTTGGGTAGGAGAAGAAATTGCATCAGCTAAAATATCGCAAAAAGACTGGATCTCATTTGATTTATGAATAAACCCAATTATTTCACATTTCCCATGCCCAAATACCACAGACATTGGGACAAATCCACCTCATGCGTGGATAACTGGCAGGTTTTACAAGATGTAATAGTTTACCTTCTCTGCAATTTCACGGATGCTGAGCAGTGACTTCATCTTTGTCCGAGATTTCTTTTCCTCGGAATGCATATAGATGTCAGCCATATCAAGGGAAATGTGGGAAAGTAAAAGAACAAGGATGTCTGTGTCATTAGCTATTAGAGTCCCTTAATTTCCTTCAGTAGCTCCTTTGAGCGTTTCAGAAACAATGTCCGTGTCTGTGTCTCCCTCACTTTGGACCACCTGATGATCGTTTGCTTCCAAGGAACGATATAGCAACTTAACAAACTGATCTTTGTTCTTGAAAACTTGCATTTCATCTTCGATTTTTATGTTATCAGAAGTTCCAGCTGCTGTTCACTGATGTTCATGGTCTTTTATGGACAGGCCGTCATTGTAACGATGAAAAATGATACTTGATAACCCGTACTTGGCCTTCACGTAGCTCAGGTACTGTGCAACTACGCTGCAGTACATTACCCTAGGCAACCATTTTATTCGGCGGAGGAGAGCATCTCCATCTAAAACAAACGTTCTGTTCGTGGCTGAAATTCAGGTACATCAGTGGTCACATGATATTTCGGTACGGCTTTGTTTGTCTTTTGCATTTGGAAATTCTTGAATATTGAAGATGGAAATAGAGTCAGTTCGAACTTGAAGAACGGAGTCATGTCTTCGCATCTTTTCAACATAACAACCAACCTTGAAAACAAAGTATTAGGGTCAACATTAACATTTTGACTATCAACCTTTACACGTTTTTGCAGCTCAATAAGGTTACGGGCTTGAGAATTTCTTTTCAGTGAGCTCTCTAAAAAGTTCACGTTGTTAATCTTTTTTTGGATAAAGTGGCGAATCTCATTGACGATATCACAATTGATTCCAGCAACATCGAATGTCGTCAAACCAGATGATACTGATTGTATTTCTAGCTTGAATTGGTCAAAGGGGTTGTGCTGAGAGATCCAATTGAAGATTCGGGTCATATTAACATGACCTCTCTTCTGACGTGCGCTAGCCTGCTCTAACTGCTGCTCGACCGGTCAGTGTTGTCATGCACTTGGGCACAGATGTGCTGGCTATACATCCACATCAATCTCACTGATTCCATAAACCATCGTACACTAGTTAACCAACATCTGTTCTTTATGCATCTTATTACTTGTTCATTAATGAGGTCAGTTGACAATCCGGCCCAGTAATATTCGCACAGAATGAAACCCGGATTCTGAGAACTGTTGATGTAGCCAAGGATGCTTTGGGGGCAATTCTAGCATCCATAGTAGGTACAATAGTGCCTTTGTGCATAGTTAAAATGCACGGTTGCTGCAAATAAATTTAGCACCCGCCCCACCGTCACAAGATGCAAATTCCAATCTCCTGTTCTTTCGGCGCGAATAAACAGCTTAAACGTGTCGATGTCCTCAGTGTAGGCCAGCCGTAATCTTGCTGTTCTTGATTTTCTCCTGTATTTATGAATCACAGTCTCGAGCAGACCCTGCAGCTTCACGAGGGCTGAAAAGTTGCCAGTATCATTAGTACTGATCTCATGCGCTTGTGGTTTCTTATACAAATCGTTTAGTTCATCCATATCAGACTGTTCTAGTTTCTCAGGCAAATAGACTTGACCCACGCCGTGGAAATTATTTTAAATCACATCAGATGTACTGCACTCCAGAGTTCCTTCACTACCAAGAATCTCGACTTCATTCTACACAGAGGCAAACTCCTCTTCCATGCTGAAAATAATCTCTCCCTCATCTGCCTCGGCTACATCAGCTGAGTCCGATAGCTGAGAAGTCTTTAGGTCATACAACATCTCTGGGTTGGTCATGTTGACCATGTTTGCCGTAGTCTCTGAATATGGAATCCAGTGAAGTCCGTAATGTGTTCAATATCAGAGTTTGGCAGTGAAGATTCAGAGAAAGTATCGGCTGTTAAGTAATTCTTTAAGTTTTCGGTATCAGGTTGGCAGTGAGGATAATTTGGGAGAAAAAACAAAATGGCTGCTTTATACACGTCGGATTGAATATTTTGAGCTTTCTGATTGGTTAACTCTTCTATTGGTGAACTATAAAATGAGTCAGCTCATTTTGGCTAGCTCACTAGTACTTACAGAGTACCCAAAAAACTGCAACAGGTCACTCTTGGTTGGTTGTCCACTTCACTGATCAATAACGGTCCAAAGAAAGTCCATTTTCCAGTAAGTGTCTGTCTCTTCAATCTTGATTACTATTAGCTGATACTATCTGATGTACAAGAATATGTAGCAGTTACAGATTATATTGCACAATCCGGAAACATAACACAGTTGAAACATTAGAAATTGATATTATAATGTTCGAATGACTCATACGACACATTCGAAATGACCTGTGTATGTAAACCACTTACAGGTGTAAACTACTCAAGTGACTAAGAACCATGTTTCACCTGACAGCACTTCTTATTTTTTTAAAGAAAATGGGGTTCAGAAAAACAGCCGTTAAAAAGTCCCTAAGGTGGATGAGAGGAATTTTTATTTTGTTGCAGGATATAAAATTCTGCTTCAAATGATGCAAAACAATTGATGGAAATATTTTACGGGTCCACCTTATATTCACTCTAAATCAACC